TCAAACTATTCTCCAAGGCACCTGAGTGTAGAACAAGAAGCAATGGGTGGAAACTAATCAAGGAGAGAAGCAACTTAGAACTAAGAGGGAAATTTCCTAACAGTCAGAACAATTAATCAGTGGAACACAAATTGCCTCCAGAAGTTGTTTAATGCCCCAACACTGGAAGTCTTTAAGAAGATGTTGGATAGCCATTTGTCTGAAATGGTATAGGGTTTCCTGCCTAGGTAGGGGGTTGGACTAGAAGACCTCCAAGGTCCCTTCCAACTCTGCTATTGTATTGTATTGTTTGAGAGGCCAGATTTTAAGGATTGATGGGTTGGATAAAGGTTCAGAAGGGGTGGGCACGGAACTGGGTAATGTGCAAAGAACTAAACTACTATCTCTTAATTGATCATGATCTGCCTGCACAAGCCAAGATTTGGTTTGACCAGCTCCCATAACCTTTTCTATGGCTCATGTGGTAGCTTGAAGGTTTGCATGTGCTAAGGCGAGTCACTGTCAGAATGTACTTCCCACTCTCTCCGGATGTTGGGTTCTGCAAGCAAAGGAGAATGAAAAGCCCAGAACAGTGCTCTGGCCTGTGCGTGTAAAGCTGGCTCACTGCTCCTTCTTTGTCCAATTTTTGGGCTTACTTCAGCCTTGACAGTGCAGAAAACCACATTATTGTCAAAACTCACAGCCTGGGAAGAATCGGTATTTGGAGGAAACAGGTGACCTTTGCAGCCCAGTTAAACTCAGGGAAATCATTTGTCTTTTTTTTTTCCAGACTGGAAACTGATGGGATTTCAATTTCAAGATTAACTTTGCTGGTGTCTGTGTCTGTTGTGTTCTCTGTTCTTCCCCACACCCTCCCCCTAAGCTGACCAAGAATGGAACTGTCGAGTCCGAAGAGGCCGATGGCTTGACGCTTGAGGATGTCTCTGATGATGACCTCGATGTAGAGAACGTGGAGGTGGATGACTACTTCTTCTTACAGCCCTTGCCCACCAAGCGGCGGCGAGCTCTACTTCGAGCCTCCGGTGTTCATCGCATCGATGCAGAGGAAAAACAAGAACTTCGCGCCATCCGCCTCTCACGAGAAGAATGTGGGTGCGACTGCCGGCTGTACTGTGACCCTGAGGCCTGTGCCTGTAGCCAGGCTGGAATTAAATGCCAGGTCAGTGGGGAAGAAACCGCTAGGCTTTGGCCAGAACCGTATCCCCTGTTGCCTGCGTGTCTTTTTGATATGGAGCGAGGTCCGCTCAAGCCTTGTTTCATGTGTTGAGTCTGAGCTTATAAGAGGTGATTTTTAAAGTGAACTCCTCTCTCTGCCAACCTACGAAGTCTTAAGGGATGATAGGATGTATTGTCCCCTTAGATGCTCCAAGACCGAAGTTAAAAAAAAGAAGCGAATAATTCAGGAGGGAAGAATCCTGCTTGAGTTTGTGGAGAAAAACAAATGACAAGATGCAGCCAGCCTCTGGGATGGGGAGCTTAAAAGGATGAGAAGGTCTTGAGGAAATAGCACTAGCTTTCCAGGAGGATGTGAAGTCACTGTGATTATGCATGTGGGAATCCGCTATTCTTCTTCTTCTCTCTCTTGGCCGCTATAGGGAACGAGTGCTTGAAAAGTATCTGATCAGATGTTAACTTAAATTACGCAGCATTTGTGCAAGTTTAACCACACTTTCATTGCATTTGATTTACAGTGTTATGCTTCTTAGACAAAACAGAGAGACAATGCGATGTCCAGAATCCAGAAGTTTTAAAACAAGGAAGACTTAAGTTACTTCCTTTTTGATTCCCAACATCTAAGATGCTGGGGGATCTCTCCAGAACCAAATTTCATGCTCTGCATTGTTCTCATCTGTAGCATGTTGATCTCCCTCTCCCCTCCTCTGTGGAATGTGTACATTGGCATTTCTGCTCTTAATATTTTCTTGGCAACATTCTCTCTGCCTCTTTTGCACCACATCTTTTGCACACGAAATGTCTAGCTCTCTGATAAAGGATTTCAGGTCCTCTTTCCTGAAAGTGCTTTTATCCTGAAAGAGCATTTGATGGCTTGATAAATGAAGTGTCAGAGAGCACATTCTTTCTTTCACAATAGAATCGAATCAGACTCCAGGCCATTCTTTATTTCTTTTGATTTCTCTTTGAAATACAAGATTTATAGGTAGGTTAACTGGGGTTGGGGGACTTGAATGGGTGGGGGCAGATTCTGGGTTGCTTGAGGGCTATCTAGCCGGTTGCTTTTGGATAACAGTTGACATGGATTTTACATTTTTCATCTGACTTAATTTCCTACCTGTTCACTTACTCTCATTTTAGCCAAGCTTTCATCCTTCCAATCACTTCCTCAGTTCTCACACAGGCCCAGTTTTCACTGTCCTTCGCTTCCCCCACCCAGGTGGACCGAATGTCCTTCCCATGCGGCTGTTCCAGAGATGGTTGTGGGAACATGGCTGGGAGAATTGAATTCAATCCCATCCGGGTGAGGACTCACTACCTGCACACCATTATGAAACTAGAGCTAGAGAATAAACGGCAGGTGAGCCGGGCCCAGGTTCTGGATGAAGAGACCCCTCATAGCTCCAGCAGTGACTGGCTGGGGAGCCAGTCCCCAGAGACCCAGGATTTCCAGGAGTTCATGGCGGAGAATGAAACGGCAGTCATGCATCTTCAGACCGCTGAGGAGTTGGAGCGGCTGAAGGCTGAGGAAGACTCTAGTAGCGGCTCCAGCATGGAAAGCTTGGGGGTGTGTATTTTGGAGGAGCCGCTTTCTGTCTCCGAAGGGATGTGCCCAAGCCTCGCCACACCAATCCTCATTCAAGCTCAGCTGCCACCAGGTTCCTCTGTTCTGTGTTTCACGGACAGTTCTGAGCAAGCCAGCTCAGCTGAGGGCAGTCAACCCTACTTGAACAATGGGCCTGTTGTGTACTATCAGGTTGACCAAAGGTCAGTGCTGGGGGTGAAGGGGGAAAATAGGTCAGAGGAGCCCGAGGAGCCCCCTCGTTACACGGAGGAGAAGGAGCTAAGCATCTACTCGGTCCCTGTGACTTCACTGGTGTCTTGCGGCAGAGCCACAGCCACCAGCAGTGTAGAAACAGAGAAGGTTGCTGAATCTTTTGAGGCCCTGTCTTCTGAGAGCTGTCAGCCTGAAATTCCTCCGCCAAGCCTGCCACTCCACACAGACGTGCCACAAGACAGCTTGCGGCCCCAGAATGTGGTGCCGCAATCTCCAGAGAGGGCCTGTGAGCTCCCCTCTTCTGAGGAGTGCTCTTTGGGCCCTTCTCTGGCCGTGTGACAATTCCCAACCCATCACCTTGATGTTTATTTATTGACAGAAGGTTTTTATCAAATGGCCCCCGTCATTGGGAATTGTTTTAATATTGGGGTGGGGGAGGGAAAGGAGAAGGGGGCTGCTTTGTGTGGGCTCCACCATATAAGGACCTAAAACAAGCACTTAGAGCTGCCTCAGAGTAGGAGGATCGGTCTGCTAGTTGGGCAGCCTCCTAGTTCTGAAGAGGTTGGGCCAATAGGCAGTGGAACGTTGTAGGGGAGGCCTTGACTCCACCCTACAAGGACCAAATGTGAATGTGTCTCATGGAAGCAATAGAGCAAAGCTGCCTTTTCTAAAGCGCTGGATGGGTTGGAGGGCAGGCGGAAGAGAACACTTGTTGCTACTTCACGACGTCAATCAGTCTCTTTGCGTGGCGGAATCTCTCCCTCCAGTTGCTGATCCCAAGCGAAGCTGCTGCCGCCACCGCCGCCGCCACTGTCACCCATCCCTTTCTGTCACTTTCAGTGCTGTGTCTTGGTAACGGTGACCTTACTTGCTTGAACTGCTCTAACCAGTTACACAGCTTAAGCTCTGCAACCTCTTATTTATGTGACATTTACTGCCCTTCGTTCCCTGGAAGAATCCCATATATTTTTTAAATTCACTATGAATTAACTTTGATCATGACTAGCTTACACCTACAGTTTGGCATGCAACTGTTGTAAAAAAATAATTTTCATCCTGGAGTCTGTCCTGCCCCCACCAATAGCTTCACCCAAACATGTTCACGGCCTGTTTTGCTAGTTGGCCTTTGCTGGGACTGATTTAAGTTTAAATTAACTTTTTTTAAAAAAAGCTGAATGTTTACGGACATGATGTGACTCAAGACTTCTCACTGACTCTCTGATCCTGAGCTGTCCTCTCCGACTAGAGGCCCTTTGGGGATCTGATTCTGTAAACGCCCTAGGATTGGGTGGGATCCAACTTCCTTCTGAAAAGAACTGCCAGTTTGGGTGGGCAGAGAATTTGACAAAGTACTTGTTAGCCTTTTGACCCATAGTTTTATGAATCAATTTTCCCTTTCACTGTTTCAGTCTTTTCCATTCTAGTTGCACAAGAATTTGGAGGCGATATTGAAAGCTTTCTGTCCCCTTGCTCCTTGCTTAGCAACCTAGCATTCTGGATGACTTGAAAGGGCACAGAGTCTGTGTGCAGTAAAACTGCAACCTGCTGGGTCCCAAGCATTTAGGGGTCAGTAAATGTGCAATAAGGTGGCACCTGCAATTCCCCTCCCGGTGAAATGTGTACATTGTTCCAATTGGTCTTGGAATAAAGGGAGAAAGGACGCCCTTATAAGCTGCCACTCACCTCTATGACCACTCTAGAATAACAAAAGCACTTTTCCAGCTTACCTTGTAGTAAACAACAGATAATCATTGCTTTTCTCTGTCATCACCTGTTTGACCCAGCTCATGTTACAGCCCTGTGGTGTATGGCCTGGAGCTTAGCAAGAATTGGTTTCCCTGTATTTAGGAATCTTTCTTTTTTCAGACTGCTCAAGACTTACAATGAGTTGCACGAAAGCTAGTCTGGGTAATTCAGTTACCCATAACTCCTTATGCATAAGAGAGGGTGGGATTTAAGTTGCCTTTGCAGAGATCTATATCCTCACCAAAACCTACCTCTCAGCTGAGAAATAGTACAGGCACCATCAGAACCTAAATAGATGTTTTGTGTTTTTCAGGCATATCACTAGATCTGTATAAATGCTGGGCCATATAAGTTTCTAGATGCTGAATCTGGAAAGATTTAACAGGTTTGCTCCTTAATTGCAAAGCTGCTTGGGAGTAGGCAGAACAAAAAAACTCTGGCGGTAGCCAAGTCTAACTTAATTCTTGGCTGTTAACGATCAGTGATGAGCAATCGGCGCTGCCAGTGCATCCAGAAAAGCCTATTCTCCTGAAAGTGACTCTCTGTAAGATAAACACAAGCAAATGCTGTGTAGGCGGCAGCTGAGAAAAACTGACTATAACTATTGACATTCCAGGCTTCAGAATAGATGCAAAGACTCCAGTACTAAATTCCTGTCCGATTTTTACCTTATTTCACCCAAACTCTCCTTGTGCCGATTAGCATATAGTATATAGCCAGGGCTCCTGTACTTTGCCAGACTACTAACTATTTTAATTGCTTTCACATCACTACCTCTTTCGGGGGGATTGTTTAGCAGCAATGCTATGTTTAGTGGGCAAATACCTCCTTTGTACATTTTAAAATGTAACGGGATGAATGTGCAGCCTTAAAAATGTCCAGTCCTCCTTTTGTCTTTAAAAAGCCACACATGTTGCATGACACACACACACACACAAACATAAACACTCCTTCCTATATACTGGTCTCATTCCTGAGAGGGTGTTTAGGCTTTTATTCCATGCTGTTTTACCCGTAGGCTACCATTGGGTTTGAGGGTCCACTGGTGTCTTTAGGAGGAATCTTTCCTAATTCTCAGTTTGTCGTTTACAAAACAAGTGGTGCTATAACAAGCTCGATTTATTTTGAAGGCAGCTGATCCCAGATGCAACTCTCACTGTAGCAAATATATTTAGTGCTCTTCACATCTGAATCAAACAGAAGAGAAAAAATTTCCTCCTACATGAATGCATAGTTTTGTAGGTATCTAGGTCAAAGAGAAGGCATCTCTTATAAAAATTCTCAACTCTCTGAAAGCACCTTGGCTATTTGTAATAATACTGACCCGTAATTCTGGCGATTGGGCACAATCAGCACTAGAATCAAGATTTTCAATGGGGCTTACCTCAATTCTTGCAGATCTGGCAGTATAAGAATCTCTTCCTGTTGAATGCTTAAGCTGTTGCACCCCTTGGCCACCTGCCAATACTCACAGATGGTTTGGTGGAATACACTTTCTGAAAATGGAAGCAGCTTCACACTTAAAATACCAGGATTCCATTTTTATAAATGCAGAAACAATTCTCATGACTGACATTCCAGAATGCAGTGATTAATGTAATGGCTTGGTAGAAACCAAGCACTAAAATACTACATTCTTAGGTGTAGATAACAGGGAAGAAAACAGAAACTCAACATAGCCATCAGAACTATTAAATATTACACTGGCTTTCTTTTCCATGAGTGCGCTTAGTTATGGCAGAAAGACAACCTTAAATAGCTATTTATAGAAAAAAAAATGAGGAAAAAACACTCCTTCCTGAGCATTATGAAAAAAGAAAGGACACTGATCTCAAATGACAGAATTTTATTTCTAAATTCTGTAATAGAGGCTGGGCTTCTTAGAAAGCTTTTGTTTTAAAGAATGTTCTTTAATGCAAAAAAGCCTATTTCTCTTGCCTGTCTCCCTTTTGTTATTAATAACGAAACTATCTTTCTTACTCTGATGTGGTTGGTACATTTGCCTGTTTCTCCTCCTCCTCCCCTTCTTTTGGTGCTACTGAACTGTTTACAGGACAGCCCTTCTACTACCTGGAAGAGACTTATATTAACAGAAGCCCTGGTCTGACATTATTGGTATTAGCCCTGTCCTCTTTGTCACTTGCAACTGATAACTTCATAACTCTTTCCTGCAGGAAATACACAGGTGGCATTTTCAATGTGAATCCAAAGCTTGTCAGGTCCTTTACATTTTGTTTTGCCTTTTTATGTTCTTTTCATTGTGATAATGCTGTATTTAAAGAGGATATTTAAGTGTAAAAGCAAATAAATGCATCAACTTACATGAAGCGAATTTTGTTCTCAAAATTGTAGCCGCCTTCTATTCAGTTATAGACCCAGTGTGCATGCACATTTTCTGGTATTTTTTACAGCTGCTTTTAATCAAAGTGCAACTTACGATTAATACTTGCAGAGTCTGCATTTGTGAAACAATCCTTTGTCTGAAGGAACTAAACAGTATGTACAATGTTTCGTCATAATGGAGAGATTCTGCATTGGATCATTGTAGATATCACCTCCCAAGGTAGTTTTTGCAGTTTGACTTAATTTGGATTTGCGACAAGTCTATCAATTTATCTCCTAGTGAAACCTTATGGGAAAATCTTTTCACGCATCCAGGGCTTTTATTCCTTTGCAAAGATTTTATTTCAAAAAGACTGATGATACTACTTGGACTAAGGTACACACAACAAAGACTTGGCTCATGAACTTAGAAGTCACTAGTTATTTTATAAGGGGAAACAACTATTCATAATTTGAGTATTTCCAGTAATTTATGACTCAAGCTCAGATACTCAAGGGGAGTTACAATAGTGATATGTTAACAGAATGACTTCAAAATCCCACAATTAAGAGATCGATGCATTTTTTTAATGTTAATCATCTTTCCATCTTTAATGGTAAACATTTATCTTTCAAGTAAAATACATGTAATATATACATTTCTCACACATTTTATGATTAGCTCAAATACAGACTTCCTCAACCTATACATGTCATCCAGAATTCCAGCTTCTGGTACACTACATGCAATCTATTTTTTACCCCCCCCCTCCCCCCCCCCCCCCCCCCCCCAGTAAAGGATTTTTTCAAGTGTGCTACACTTCATAATAAAAATTTTCTAAAAATCCTGCAAATCTTATGGCTCCTGAGAGACCAAGATTGAGTCTTCCTTTTTGATAGGAGTGACCAGTGCTATCTCAGCTGTGCCTTCCCAGAGTTTTGCTGCCTTGGGTCTTTACCATTAAGTCCTGTAAAATGTGTGTGTTTGTGTGTGTGTAATAATACACCTATATGGAGAGATGCTTTAGCTTCAATACTGACCTCCTAACATTTCCATCCTAGTCCCTCTAACAATTGCAGCTGGAGAGAGAAATAAAGTCCCTGAAACATTTCAAGACAAAAGGGTTGGAAGAAACAAACATTAAGACGTGTGGATCTCTCCCACCCCCCACACATTTTTTTTTA